AGTTTTCAGAGAAGAGGTCTTTGATTTCTTTTGTTAGGTTGATTCCTAGGTATTTCAGTTTTTTGGATGCTATTGTGAAAGGAATTGTTTGCCTTGTCTCAGTGAGTCTGTTGTTCATGTAGAGGAAAGCTATTGATTTTTGTGTTGACTTTGTATCCACCTACTCTACTGAATTTGGTTAAGTCTAGAATACTTTTGAGGGAGTTCTTGGTGTCTTCTATATAGAGTATCATGTCATCTGCAAATAATGACAATTTGACTTCTTGATTTCCTATGTTTATTCATTTTCTTTATAACATAAAATTGAAAAGCAAAAGGAAATGTGAGACATGAAGTCTTACAGATTAAGTTGAATGGGTGAAACGAGATGGAATGTTCCTAAGTTAGATTTGTTCATAAGTCCAACCAAGTGAGTCTTACACACAAAAATAAAGTAAGTCCCTGACAGTGCTGTACAACTGCATGACTGTACAGTAAGCACACAGCAGCACCACTGTGATAATGTCCAGTAGACATATGAACTACTTGCACAATTTTTTCATATCTACAAATGTTCTTAATGTGAAGTCCATTTGGATCTGTGAAATTTCCCAACACGAATGTTCATAAGTAGGGTACTTACTGTACTATAAAATTATGCTAATTTATCTGGACATCTGAATAGTATTACACTTCTACAATCATATTTCTTTTTAAATTTTTATTGGTGCATTTTAGGTGTACAATATACAGACATTCATCATTTTATACCCATCCCTCCCTATTTACAAAGACTTTGTTTCCATTTTTTTCATACTAATTCCATTCCCTTCTTTCCCTTCCCCTACCCCTCCCACTTCGCCCCTTTTCTTCCTATTTCACATATCTACTACACCTTTTAGTCCTTATTTACACTGTTTCTCACACTACAGAAGCTATTTGGTATTTACACGTGTCCTGTTTATTTCACTTGAGTATCCCCCCAATGTGCATCCATTGAGCTATAAATGTCTAATTTCTCATTTTTTATGGCTGAGTAGTACTCCATTTTATTTAAAAACCCACATTTTCTTTATCCAGTCTCTAGGTGATGGGCATTTGGGCTGTTTCCAAGTTTTAGCTATTATAAATTGTGCTATGAACATGGGTACACATATATCACTGTGGTATGATTCTTTTAATTCTTTGGAGAAGATCCCCAGCAGGGGAATAGAGGGGTCAAATGGGACTTCCAGTCCTAGTTCTTTGAGGTATCTCCCTACTGATTTCCACAGTGGTTGCACCAGTCTACACTCCCACCAGCAGTGGAGCAGGGTTCCTCTTTCCCCACAGCCCCACCAGCATGTTATTGATTTCATGATAGCAGCCACTCTTTCTGGAGGTGGAATCTGTGTTGTTTTCATTTGCATCTCTCTAATGGCCAGTGATATTGAACACTTTTTCATATGTTTGATTTTACCTTCTTTGTCTGAGAAATGTCTGTTCATTTCAGGTGTCCATTTTTGAATTGGGTCTTTAAATTTCAGGGGTCTGATTTTTTTTCAGTTCTTTATATATTCTAGATAGTAGTCCTTTGTTTATGGTACAGCTGCTCAAACTTTTCCCCCACATTGTAGGTTGTCTCTTAGCTCTGTTGGGGGTTTCTTTTGCAGTGCAGAAGCTTTTTAATGAGATCCCAGTTGTTGATTCTTTATGTTAGTTCCCGTGCTACTGAGGTTTTGTTCATAAAGTCTTTTCCTATGTCAATGTCTTCAAGAGTTCTACCTAACTTATCTTCCAGCAAGTTTAGTGTTTCTGTCTTAATATGTAGATCTTTAATCCACTTTGATCTTAGTTTAGTGCATGGTGATAGGTATGGGTCTAGTTTTAATCTTTGGATGCCTAGTGAATTTTGAGGACTGGAAGTCTCTGTTACACATGCATTATGGTTTGTATACATTGTTCTTTAGTATTCATTTGGATGTTATTGCTTGAATTCATAATGAAAGTTTTGCCACTGTCACTGCATCTGTAAGATACCATTCATGTACAAATTCTCCAGTGTTATGCAAGGTATGAATTTGCACAATCATCACATTTCTATGGTGTCTCTCCAGTATGGGTTATCTGATATGTTTTGAAGTGCAAGCAGTGAAAAGAGGATTTGCCAAACTGATCACATTTTTGTAAGATTTTTGAGGATACAATATCTGTTGTGTACTGAGGCTTGAGTGCATAATCACAGATTTGTCATTCTTATTCCATTTGTGAGGTTTCTTTGAACTATGAATTTTTTGGTGAATGCTAATGTCAGAGTTTCACCTTAAGGCACTGTTACATTGGTAAGGTTTTTCTCCACTATGGATTAGCTTATGGCTAGTTATGATAATGTTAAATGATAACTCAAGGCCTGCCCTATTATATATGAAAATTATCTTTCCAGCAGGAATCCAAAGCTTTGTTAGGCTCGAACACTGACTGAAGACTTTTGCCTCATTCACTTGTCGCCTTTCTTTCTGGGATGGAATCTCCAATGAACTCCAAGTTAGGAATTGTCATGGAAGACCTTGAGATATATTTTCCAGTATGGATTACACGCTTAGCCTTAAACACACATGCTAACAGCTTTGCAACTCTCATTGAATTTGGACGATTTCACTCCCGTGAGTGATCTGGTTTACAAGCTGTCGAGTTTGACTGAAGATCTTAGGCCATTCATTACATTTCTAAGGTTTTCTCAAGTATGAATTCTCCGATGATGTGCTAGAGATGAGTTTAGACTGAACACTTTGCCACATTCATTACATTTGTAAGGTTTCTCTACAGTATGAATTCTTTGATGACGTGCAAGGTGGGAATTCCAACTGAATACCTTGCCACATTCATTACATTTGAAAGGTTTCTCTCCAGTGTGCATTATCAAATGTTTTGCAAGATATGAATTACGACTAAACACTTCACCACATTCTTTACACTTGTAAGGTTTCTCTCCAGTATGGATTCTTTGATGATTTGCTAAGGATGACTTATGACGGAAAGCACTGCCACATTCATTACATTTGTAAGGTTTCTCTCCTGTATGAATTCTACGATGTTGTGCAAGGTGTGAAATATGGTTAAAGACTTTGCCACATTCACTACATTTATAAGGTTTTTCTCCCGTATGAATTATCAGATGTTGTGCAAGGTAGGAATTGCGACTAAAGACTTTGCCACATTCATTACATTTGAAAGGTTTCTCTCCAGTGTGGATTGTTTGATGTTGGGCAAGGTGTGAATTTTGATGGAATACTTTGCCACATTCATTACATTTGTATGGTTTCTCTCCAGTGTGAATTCTACGATGATCTGCAAGGTTTGAAATTCGGGTGAAGACCTTGCCACATACATTACATTTG